TACCCTTTTCTTTACAATAAGGCTTTCAAATAAGTCATGGTTGTACGGCAGTGAAGCATCGGTGTTGAGCACTGATATCATGCTGTCGATGTGCTTAGGGCGCGAATTTTAATGACCGGAAGGTCTGTGTTTCGAACCGAACCCGGGCATCGCAACCGCTTCTCTCCGGACAGTATCGCAGCCTTCGTGCTTCCTTAGGACTACATGGCCCGGAAAAGGTTTTACAGCTGAACGACGGCGACGAGTTCGCACCTCTCGAACCTGATGGAGCCGCGCTCCAAGTAGCAACGAACTACACGTTTGGGTAGCCGTCTCGACACAAACCTAGTAGACATCCTGTTTGATGAAGCTAGAGCTGCATGTGTAAATTCCCGTCGTCTGGCGACGTCGTGATACCAGCATCTAACTCAAAGGTCACCTGCGCAATGCCTCCGTGCGTAGTTTTCTATTATACATATGTGGAATGAAGATTCTCCAGGTTGCAAACGGTAACAGGATTACTGGCCTCGGTCATCTTTCGACTTGAAAAGTAGCTCATATCTGTTGAGAACAACGCTACCATCATCAGGTGTAAGGCATTTACATACTGTACAGTGGTTTTGGCTGCCACAGGTTTGCTTACCGATGATCTTGGATCTAGGAACGCTAAGCTACATATTGGGGTCGCCATGACAGCAGACCTAAAGCTCCAACAAAGCTGTCGTTCTTGGTAGCTTGAACACCCAGGTCGTTAGGTCACCTGGGTGGTCATCTTAGATTGAACGCGAGGCCCACGGACAACGGAGAGCACCTAGTGCAGATACGTACCCTTCACCGACTATTCCTTTTCAGTACCGATTTCTGGAACAGCGGAAATCGCTACGTGTTGAGCACTAGTGAACCTGAACCATGATATACCACGCCTATAGTTATCGGTGGCGAGGGTCGATCACTGCTCACAGCTCTTTATGGAATACCTGCGCTGATCCCCATCATGCACTTGTGTGCTGCCGCTTTTTGTGGTGCTTTTCAAGTGTGCGCAAAAGGCGCACCTTGCTTAGCCATTGAGAAGCTCGTGGATTCAGAACCGCGTGACTGTTGAGACCCGGTGATATGTTTACGCCACAAGTGATTCAAATTGGCAAATGGTAATCGTGCTTTTGAAATGCATACATTGGCTTCATCAGATACACTTCCTTCAAAGCTAGTACAAATACTGAGTTATGTAAAATTCCTCACAACCTCCGGTACTTCTCGGATCACAGAGGGCATTTTCGGAGACTGATCACTCTGGATCATGACTTTGGATTTTGAAGTCTTAAGGTGCGCGCCGAAAGAGGATACGAAGATGAGAACGATGTTGTCTACCTAATCCAGATTAACAAGGTTCTCACCTGCAACGATCTGAACACTAAAGTTCGGGAAGCCTTTCAGCGTCTACTTTTTTTAGCACCTGTTTTTTCTGATGATCTCCGTTCTTCGGCGTTGGTCGGAGGAACGGTCGGTGGTTTCGCCTTCTGTGGATGAGGGATACGAATCCCCTTTAGATCTTACTTGAATCGGGTGGTGACCTTATTCTGGGGTGCGTGCAGTCTAATACCGAATTAACGGAGTTCCAAATATTGAACCAGTCTTCACCCAGCCGACTGGTTTTTCCCGCTTTCAAAAGTTCCCTGATAACTATTTCTGATAGAGTTTTGATGGAAACGAATGATTTCCGTTTTAGTCAAAGGCAAACACGTGGAAGCACAAGTGCACACATGTGTTCCAAAGGGAATGGCAACCAGTCAGATTGTTAGATTGATTA